GTACGACAATTGATCCTGTAATCCAGTCTCCCAATTACCACCATCAACCCTGTAAAATAGAAAACCTATCAAGGGCAAACTTTTTCCTTGCACATAGTCCACTTGAGCTAGGTGATGACAATCTTCACTCCCTCAAGTTGGACCACCTTTCTTGATTGTGTTGGCTCGATGAAGACTAGTTGATTGCTCCCCATACTCTACTATGGGTGAGCCACTCTTCAGCACATCTTCACAAGTCCATTGTCACCAAAATGGACGGCAAGCTTCAAGCTCTTGATCTCTTCGTGATTCTCCACTTAAACTTGCACACCGCAATCTTGATGACGATCACCACTTGATGTCATCCTCTCCATGGGTTGTATGATATCTTCCTCTTGACGCAAGCCCATGGAAACATACCTAACCCCACATAGAACTCTCATGTAGACCATGGGTTAGTACACAAAGCATAATGGACAATGCTTACCACCATGGTATCACTTGATCCCTCTCGGTACATCTTGTACGCTTTGTGTGTTGATCAACTTGAATCACTCTCTGTACGTAGTATTGATCAACCTTGAATCTTTCTAACTCTCTTCATTAGGATGATGTCTTGAAGGTAAACATGAATGATCGCACAATCTTCTTCTTCAAGACATGCTTGCAATAAGCTCAACTCACACATGACCAATCTTTGGATAAATCCTTAATAGCACCTTGGTCAACTCATAAACTCCTTGAAACCAACACATGGACTTCAAGAAATGCCTATGGATGAATCCTTCAAATATTACTCAATGCAACCATTAGTCCATAGAGAATGCCATCAATTACCAAAACCACACATGGGGCACCACATGTTTTTTCAGCGTCCGCCTGTCAGTTTTCTCACAAACCGAAAGCAAATCAGGGGGCTTTTATGGGAGTCCAGAACTCCACCACGCACGTGCCCGACAACCCAGCGTATCCAAACCTAGAAATGAAGTTCTGGGAGGGAATGTGAGGAGGAGAAGAGGCGGCGGCCAAGATAACAGAGAGATTCGAGGGCATCTTGACGAAGAAGGAGGAGGCATGTGTCAAGCGCTCCCGTGTGAAAGAGGAAAAAAAGTCGGAGAGGTTTAACATATTAATGGCGGTGAACGAGAAGAAGATCAACCGCGATTATAAGAGACCAAGCTCGAAGAGGGGACGATTAAGCTCGCGACCGCTTTTGAGGATATCGAAATGTTAACCATGAGGGTGGTCGTTGAATCCCAATGCAGTGATGATCGTGTGTGTCGTCTGTGTTAAGACGTTGAAGCACTTGACGACAAGATGAAGGCGTACGAGAGGAAGACAACCAGTGAGGAGGAGCCAGCAGTAGGATAGCTAGGAGGCTCGGACCTTTTTTTGCACGGACTGGACTTTTGTGCTTTGGCGCATGTAAAAACTATGAACATCGTCTCCCTTTGATTATGACCGGCCGCTATAAACACTACACTTTAATTTGCTTATATTGGTATGCATTTAATTAAAATGGAATGGCCTATTCCGAACGCTTGGGGGATGCGAGTGAATGACCGGCTCCCGTATTTGTGTATCATATTCACAAACAAGTCTGAACCGGTCGTATCAGATGTCCGGATGTAACTGTAGAAATTTAAGACATGTACGGTCACTGCCCTGCGGGCACGTCTGGACGTGTCCGCGGGTGTTTGAGAGGTCATATTTGACATATCCGACGGTGGGTGCTCTTATATCCGTGCTCACAGACAAGCCTGAACCGGTCGGCGCGTTTTCATAGCCGCCGTTGGAAATGTCGAGTAGGCCGTTTCGATGAAACAATTCTCGAGCAATACATTACAGACACAGCCTCTGATGACGACAACGTTTTCTTTCCCTTGAATGAATGAGAGGATGTCTGTCCAAAATCCTAAATCTAGAATCGTACTAGTACCGCAGGGGACGTGTGTCTATACTAGCATACATACTAAAAATTCATATAGAATCGTACCACTACCACGTACGTATAAAATGGACCTCCGTTCCCAGATCCACATGCATGTAGCTGAAGACAAGGTCACCATCCTAGATCCCACGGACGGCCGCCCGACACCAAAGAAAACCCCGTGCACGTACACACCGACTCGCGTGCCTCACCTATGCACGGCACTAGGTCGCACCAACCACGATCGGTACATGCAATATAGATTTTTATGAAAGTCAAACTTTGTCAACTTTGACCAAGTGTATAGAGAAAATTGTCTACATCTACAATAGCACGATGTATTCAATGATGTGCATTTGGTACTCTATATGTACCTACTTTTCTCTATAAACATGATCAAAGTTTGTAATGTTTGACTTTTGTAAAAATCTATTGGCACTACATTATGGAACGGAGGGAGTATCTTGCATTCGCCACGTCATCCAAGCACGTCCAAAAACCCTAAGCAGTAATCACCAGCAAGAAACAATGCTGCTGCCGGGGACGTCGGATTAGCACAGTAAACAAGGACTGGTTCGCCTCAGCGCGTTGCACTATACGTGCAGTCCTTCGCCGTGCCACTAGAGTACCGGCAGCACGGCCACCGGACCCTGTCCCACCGCTACGCTACTCAAAGTAAAGTACCACCACTCCACCACCGTAGCTTCCATAGCCTCGTGCAATGGCGCGCAGACTAGGGCACGCCGTAGCCCTGCCGCGACCATCAATGGCCAAGAGAAGATACAGCAGCGGCGGCAGCTTTCTGGCGCGACGCGACGGAGCCGGCCGGACGGCCATGATTAATACTATAAACTAGTAGTCGAACAGGGACGCCGCGCAGCTCACGGAGCGGGGCGTGCGTGCAGAGCTTGCCTTTTCGAACTCCTCCTCATCCCCTACTCTAGGACGGACTAGCTGCGCTGTTCCTCTCCAGCCTTTTCTCTCCTCCAACACACGCAGCAGGTGATCGATGCTGGGTACAGTATAGGCTACGTACAGGCTAGTTCCTAGGCGGGCAGGGCTTTTGCGCTGCATGGGGCTTCTGCGCCTCGATCCTCCCAGCCCCCAGCATGGTGAAAGCTCTGCGTGCACCGCGTGGTTAATGCACCCACATGACCACGTCAGTACCCCTGTCTTAGTGCTAGCGATCAATCACGTGCCTGTACGTAGTCTAGTCACGCCCTTGGCCGGCTGTACGTAGTCACATTGTTGCGAGCATGAAGAAGATAGATAGATAGGCTAGGTGTCATCGATGGCGAAAGCCCAGACGGCCGAGCCACCTAGCTATAGCCCGTGATTAAAAAAGGCAGCAGAAACAATGATCGACAAATTAGTGCTGGTGATCGATGGCGAGAACTCAGACGGCCCAACGTATCTATAGCAAAGAATGATGACAAATTAGCGGGCACCATCATCCATCATGAGAGAGAGATTAGTAGTTAGTTGGGGTCCTCAATCACATGGCTCGATCTACTACTTACTCCGTACTATTCTACTGGCCCGGTGACCCGACGAGATGCGTTGCATCTTCATCGTCTTCAGCTACGGTGGCCCGGGCCGGGCCGGGCATGCAGAGCGCGGTGGCCGGATCGAGGCGACTGGTTTTACCAGGTTTGGGGTCAAGCCAACCGGAGAGCCTGCTGCTGGCTCTGCGCAAGGCTGCTCGTCCATCCCATGCGTGCGTCGATGCATCCATGGCCCCGGCCGGGGCAACCGGTGGGGTCGGGGTGGCGTGCGCGGCCAAGGCCATCAAGGTGGTGACCAGGGACACGACATGCGCAGACCTGTACAGTACTGTACGGGGGTACGCCCCGCGTATAGCTACGTACGTGTCACTTCCAACTTTTCCAGCTCCAACAGGCACCGGCCACGGGTCTGTCGACCGGAGAAGACCGGCCGGCAGGCACGTCACGTTGCATGACGGGGTCGGCTACCGCCCGTACGGCGCGGCAAAGGCGGGGGGCGGGCGGTCCACGGCTGCCGGACGGCGACCATACGCGCGCGCCGGCCGGGCGGGGCGCGACCACCCTACGTGCACTGCAGTGCATCGCAGCACAGCAGCCAGCTGACGCCGTGCACTTGCCGTGCGTGCTGCTGCTGCCGTGCGCGCGCGCAAAAGGAAGCAAACTCTGTGCGTGCGTGCGCGCGCTCGAAGGTCGCCGCTCGCTCCCGGCATGCACGGGCTCGCCTCACCTACAAGCGGGGACTACACTCAGAAACATCTCCACACGCAGACAGAAACAGTGTGTTCCAATCAAATCATCCCAACTCAGGAATATTTTCCAGTAATTCCTGAGAAAATCTTGGATAAAAAGAATGTGTCACGAAAACACGGCAAGCAGACATGAAAACACGAGTGCAGGAAAAACTCTGGCCGGATAAGATGTGTCACGAAATGCTAACCGGCCATTTGTTGGGAATGTCACTTATCTCCCCGGCAAGCAGAACCACTCCACAAAACCAACTCACTCGGGCTCAGACAACTCATCAGGCCACATCATATGGACACGCCCAGAGGCAGATGAGAGGAGACAGAAGCAAGGGACAGGTCAACGAGCGATTAATGGGAACCACAGCCCTGTGACCAGACAGCTCCAGCACCCATGTGATGCTTGTCTCGATAGCACCACCACATCATTAACACACCCACTAAAAAATAATCAGTGTACTCCTTGATCAATAATCAGTGTCAAAGCTCCGACATGATTCACTGCACTCCGACATGATTCAGTGGAAAATGGAGTGATTAAGCCGAGCGTTTAGCTGTTGCTGACAAGTGTAACCTCGATAACTGTCAGAGCACAAGACAAGCACTGGCACATGGAAGCTTAACAGTACTAAGAAGCGTAATTAACAGTTGATTGTACAAGGGTGCACTGGCAGCTAATACTAGTAGTAGTAGGCTAGGTCAATGCATGCATGCGCTAGCTAGGAGTGGTAGATTATCAAGGGGTGGGCGTTAACGTCGCCCCGGCGCCACGGGATGGCCGGAGGAGGGTTTGTATCCAGCCGCCGGTGTTGACTCGGGGAGGCTACGGCGTCGGTCGGCCGGTCAGAAGAGGTCGAAGCGCTTCGTGTCCGGCTTGCGGGACGCCGGCGTCTTGCACGACTGGGACCGGTGCAGCGGCGCGCTGGGGACGACGGGCGGACGCGATGACCGGAGGAGCGCGAAGTTGAGGTTCTTGAAGAAGGGGTGCGCCTTCACGTCGGCGGCGCCGTGGCGGGACCCGAGGCGGGCGGCGGGGTCCTTGGTGAGCAGGTGCGCGATGAGGTCCCGCGCCGCGGCGACGTCGGCGTGGCAGCCGGTGCCGCAGGAGGACGGGAAGGTGAGCGGCGCGCGCACGATGTTGCGGAGCGTGTCCTCGTTGGTGGCGCCGGCGAACGGGGTGCGGCTGTGGAGGAGCTCGTAGAGGAACACGCCGTACGCCCACCAGTCCACGGCGGCGCCGTGCGCGCCGCCGCCTGCCACCTCCGGGGCCACGTACTCGTGAGTGCCGACGAACGAGCACGACCGCGCCGACACCGGCTCCGCCACGAACCGCGGGGGAGACGCCGCGCACCGACGACGATGCCTCCGCCGCCTGAAACGTATCGGGAAGCAGGACACGCTGCGCGGCTCCTCCTGTTGTTCCTCCTCGGCGACGGCTGGCTCGAGCGACGGCGACGACGTGGACTGGAGCGACAGGTCGAAGTCGGTGAGCATGATGTGGCCGTCCGCGCGTATGAGCACGTTCTCCGGCTTGAGGTCGCGGTAGACGATGCCCATCATATGCAGGTACTCGAGCGCCAGGAGCACCTCGGCGGCGTAGAACCGGGCGGAGGGGACCGGGAAGCGGCGGGAGGGCATGCGGTGGCGGAGCGAGTGGAGGTCGCCACCAGGGCAGAACTCCATGACGACGCAGGAGAAGCGCGGGGCGGCGTCGAAGTCGGCGAAGAGCGTGGGCAGGAACGGGTGGTCGAGGAGCCGCAGGATGCGCTTCTCGGCGGCCGCGCGCTCCAGCTTGTGCTTCTTGGCCACGGCGCGGCGGTCCACCACCTTCATCGCGTACATGCACGACGGGGCCTCCGCCGACGCCGCGGTCCGGAGGCGGCAGAGGTACACGGTGCCGATGTCGCCGCCGCCGACGCGGCGGACGAGCTTGAAGTCCGCGGGGCCCAGCGGCGTCGCCGGGGAGGAGGCCGAGAGCGCGCGGATGGCCGCCCACGCCACGTCGCCGGACCGGTGGGGCCGGAACGCCGCGGACGGGCGCGGCGAGCACGCGGTGGCCGCGGCCGCCATGGCGGCCGACGGGGTGCAGTCGAAGGAGAGCCGCGAGAGGCTGGAGCAGCGCGCGAGGCTGCCGGCGCTGCTGGCCGAGCTGAGGCTGGAGTTGGGCGCCCCCGTGGACGACGCCGTCTCCAGGTCCGACAGCGCCTCCTCCGCCGCCAGCAGCAGCGTCCCCTCCGCGGGCAGCTTCCTGGGCGCCGGAGCACGCACCGCGGCCACCATCAGAGCACGCACCAGTAGCCTGGTCCGGGGCTGCACCGTTCGTTCTCCTCGCTCGTACAGTGGCGGACAGTGAGACGACGACGGAAGCTTCTTCTCCTCTCGCTCTGCTAGTGCTGGTTGCTTGGACGGTTGTTGGGTCTCCGGGCGTTTTATACCAAGGGCGACGAGGCGCGCACGGCTCGATGACACGCGGGCCCGGCGTGCCCCGCAGGTCAGCGCCAACGGCAGAGGCCCGTCACACGGTCGTCTGGCATGGAGCAGAGCAGGCAACGGGAGAGGCTCGTCCGGCGTGCTAGGCCCGTGGGCAGTAGGGGCATGCCCGTCATTTCGCACCGCCGTAGGAACTCCCTGCAGAAAAAGAAAAATCTACTTTTACCGTACTGCGCACTGGAGCTTAGTTCAAATGAAACTGGGTGTGGCGTGCGAATGGGTGGTTGCCAGATGGAGCGAGACAGCCACCCACTGGACACCGGGGATTTGCCGTGCGGTTGGGTTGGGTGTGCCAGTGCATGCCACCTGCACTGTACGCCGACGTGCCTCGCTCACTCCTACTAGCAGCAGTGCTCAGCCTCACCTACGGGCTGCTAGTGCTGGTCAAGTTGCAGTGTGAGCAGTGTAGCGTGCCTTGCTGGTTCCAAGGGTTGTTGTATGAGAGATACGTATGTATGTACCGGTCCTGGTTGGTGCAAGCTACGCCCGAGCATCGTGCAGGACGGTCGTGGGGCAAGGGAGATGTGCGCTCTGCTTCTTTTTCTTTGGTCTCGTGCGGCCGTGTGGGGTCTAGGATGGCGACACTGTCTTCCGGTACATGCATGCATGTGGATCTCCAAACGGGGTTCATGGATCCTATTTGCACCGGTGGTGGTACGACACGACTCTAAGCTTTTGGAGTTTGGCCGGACGTGTTTTCATTCCGAGAAAGCAAACGTTGTCATCATCAGAAACCGTGCGTGTACCGCATATCATCGAAACGGCTTACAAACCCACGTTACCAAACTGAGAGGACAGACGCAGCGAGGCGTTCCGAGCCAAACACAACGGACTTCCTTGTACATTTTCCTATCAGCCTAGTTGGAAAAAGAGTTGCTACACCAGAGAGGAAAAGGCAACCCCACCCCTAGGATGCAAGGTAAAATTGTGCAATGTGCTTCACATTGCACACGAGCCGTGACCCGAGTGGGATATGACCACTCCCACATCACATATGAGCTTGGCTAGCAAACTGTGCACACGTTTATTCTTGACATGCCACTTCACACATGTGCAGGCCTGGCCATGAGTCCATGACGTGTGATCAAATTGTTGCACACGTCTCAATTATAACCATGTGTGCCACGAAAAGTGTCAATAGGCCAGTTCTGGTGCGCAGGACTCGTCCAAGCCGATTTTCCGACCAAAGCCAAAGCAAGGTTTTGACCCGTTCATCATCTCCACGTGCAGTGGTGCCTCGCACGAACGTGATGACATGTTTCATTTCCAAAAAGCCAACCTCTTTTCTATATGAGAAAAAGGCTTCCAGCGTATGCCTTCTACGAAGGGACGGTGCGTGTTGTGCTTACGTTGCTAGCTTAGTGTCGTGTTCATGCTTTGTACGATTGGTAGGAATTGGTGTATGGTATCGGTAGAACTTGCAGGACATTATTAGGTTTGCACAATTACTAGGATTGTCGGTTAGTAGGATGCCATGTGTTTTTGTTTGATTACTATGAATGTGCTTGCTATATGAAGTAGCGTAAATATGCATGCATAAATTTGTAGGACTAATTGTACATGCATGATCAGAGAAGGAATAGAAGTGCTTATAAAGAATGGGGTGCATGCTCACTGCTCATAGCACCGATCAAGGTAGTACTCCCCCTGTAAATTAATATAAGAGCGTTTAGATCACTACTTTAGTGATCTAAACACTCTTATAATATTTTACAGAGGGAGTACATTCTAAGCATAGATCAAAGTAGTACCTCCATTGTCCTCTAGTTTGTACTCCCTCCGGTCATTTTTACGCTGCATATAAGAATTGTTCAAAGTCAAAATTTGCAAAGTTTGATTATATTTATATGAAAAATATCAACATCTACAATACTAAAGTTATACGATATGAAAATTAAAGTCATGACGCATCTAATGATGTCGATTTCACATCGTGAATGTTGATATTATTTTCTATAAAGTTGGTCAAACATTACGAGTCTTGACTTCAGACAGATTTTATATGCGAACTAAAAAGGACCGGAGGGAGTATGTTCAATGCAAAACGACAATGCACAAGTTTTTCAATATTTTTTAATTTCATGAACTTTTTTTAAATTCGGTAGCATTTTTTGTGTACCTTTTCTAAGTCCATTGACAGTTTTTCAAAGGTGCGATCATTTTTCAATTTCCTAAACTTTTTTTAAAACCTCTTTTTTTTAACAGACAGTCAACTGTTAACTAAGCGAACGAAACAGGGGAGGCAAGCGTGCGTGCACGTTAGCAACGCCGCTTGATAGGCTGGCCCATGCCAGCGAGCGCGGGAGCGCCCGTTCACTCCACGACGCGTTTAGCGTGGAGTACGAGCGCTCCATCCTGCTTGCACCCAAGTTGGAGTTGCCTGCCGATGCCCCCCAGAATTCACCAAGCACTTGACCACCGCCCCACCGGAATTCGCGTTGAGGCCGAACACCATTGTGCCCTAAGGGTTACGGTTCTCGTCACCTTCAAACTGGTGACTTTCGACACCTTGAAGGTGATCGTATTCAACACCGACGACGTTGAGGTTGTAGCCAAGTGCAAGGGGCACTAGGAGGCATTTATGATGGACCGCTAGTTTGACTTGTGTTGGCCGGATAGTTTAAAACTTTGCCGCAAGTGTTTGTTACTTTAATTGCGTGTGAGTACCTCCTAAAACTCTGGTTTATGATGTGCCTGTTAGTAGTTGCATATGACTATGTTGTTGTGACGCCCCCGATTCAATCGTACACTAATCATGCACGCAAATGTGTACGATCAAGATCAGGGACTCACGGGAAGATATCACAACACAACTCTACAAATAAAATAAGTCATACAAGCATCATAATACAAGCCAGGGGCCTTGAGGGCTCGAATACAAGTGCTCGATCATAGACGAGTCAGCGGAAGCAACAATATCTGAGTACAGACATAAGTTAAACAAGTCTGCCTTAAGAAGGCTAGCACAAACTGGGATACAGATCGAAAGAGGCGCAAGCCTCCTGCCTGGGATCCTCCTAAACTACTCCAGGTCGTCGTCAGCGGGCAGCACGTAGTAGTAGGCACCTCCGGTGTAGTAGGGGTCGTCGTCGACGGTGGCGTCTGGCTCCTGGACTCCAGCATCTAGTTGCGACAACCAGAAGGAAAGGAAAGGGGGAAAAGGGGGGAAGAAAGCAACCGTGAGTACTCATCCAAAGTACTCGCAAGCAAGGAACTACACTACATATGCATGGGTATATGTGTAAAGGGCCATATCAGTGGACTGAACTGCAGAATGCCAGAATAAGAGGGGGATAGCTAATCCTGTCGAAGACTACGCTTCTCGCAACCACCGTCTTGCATCAAGCAGAGGAGAGTAGATTGAAGTCCTCCAAGTAGCATCTCCAAGTAACATCTCCAAATAGCATCTCATAGCATAATCCTACCCGGCGATCCCCTCCTCATATCCCTGAGGTAGAGCGACCACCGGTTGTATCTGGCACTTGGAAGGGTGTGTTTTATTAAGTATCCGGTTCTAGTTGTCATAAGGTCAAGGTACAACTCCAAGTCGTCCTGTTACCGAAGATCACGACTATTCGAATAGATTAACTTCCCTGCAGGGGTGCACCACATAACCCAACACGCTCGATCCCATTTGGCCGGACACACTTTCCTGGGTCATGCCCGGCCTCGAAAGATCAACACGTCGCAGCCCCACCTAGGCTCAACGGAGAGGCCAGCACGCCGGTCTAAACCTAAGCGCGCAGGGGTCTGGGCCCATCGCCCTGAGCACACCTGCACGTTGCGTACGCGGCCGGTGAGCAGACCTAGCAACCTCCATTACAAAGGAAGTTGCATTAACGCAGTCCAACCCGGCGCGCGCCGCTCAGTCGCTGACGTCACGAAGTGCTTCAGCTGATACCACGACGTCGGGATACCCATAACTACTCCCGCGTAGATGGTTAGTGCGTATAGGCTCGTAGCCAACTCAGATCAAATACCAAGATCTCGTTAAGCGTGTTAAATATCCGCGAACGCCGAACAGGGCCAGGCCCACCTCTCTCCTAGGCGGTCTCAACCTGCCCTGTCGCTCCGCCACAAAGATCCACACAGAGGGCCGTCGGGACAAAGGTCCTTTCAGCCCCCAATCCGTGAATCACTCGCGGGTACTCTTCGAGCGGACCCGACTTTAGTCACCATCTGTATAGTATGTATGTATGTATAGTATATACCCGTGATCACCCCCCAAGTGATCACGGCCCGATAGTATAGCAAGGCAGACTGACAAGAATGTAGGGCCACAGATGGAAATACTAGCATCCTATACTAAGCATATAGGATTGCAGGTAAAGGTATCAACAGTAGTAACAAGGGCAGGCTATGCATCAGGATAGGTATAACGGAAAGCAGTAACATGCTACACTACTCTAATGCAAGCAGTATAGAGTAGAATAGGCGATATCTGGTGATCAAGGGGGGGGGCTTGCCTGGTTGCTCTGGCAAGAAGGAGGGGTCGTCAACTCCGTAGTCGAACTGGGCAGCAGCAGCTTCGGTCTCGTAGTCTACCGGAGAGAAGAGGGGGAAGAAACAATGAATACAATGCAAACAAATGCATATCGATGCATGACATGACAAGTAACGATGCTAGGTGTGCCCAATCGCGGTAGTAGGTGATACCCACGAAGGGGGGAAACCTCCGAGAAAGTATTCCCGGTGTTTCGCGTTTTCGGACAGATGAACCGGAGGGGAAAAGTTGCGAGTTCGATAGGTTAGGGGTGTGTGGCGGACGAACGGACTGCGTATCCGAAATC